TGGCTTCCTCCATCACTGGAGCAAGCAAGCCTCCTGTTCGCTTCAGCTGCCTGGCTGCCAGCCGCCATCTTGGTTGGCAGTTAATTTGCATATCGCCCTGATTAGCCAATGGGAAGTGTGTCGGAGGTATGGTTAATTACCATGTTTGTCTATTATTAGATAGGATGTTGCATTCTATATTTATTTTCTTTTGCTACTATTATTATGGGACAAATTACATTCATCAACTGCTACTATTATTATGGGACAGAGGGAGTATAAATTTTGACTTTTCTATTTATATTTTCTATTTATATTTCCTGCTCTTTTGGAAAAATATTCTTAGATAGCTCATTAACACCTTTAATTGAGCATTGGAGACACCACCAGCCTGCTTAGTAAGCATTTCTCTCTGGAGGCTGCCCCTCAGGAGAGAAAACTACCATGTAAACCTCTTACTTTTATCACGTGTATTCAAGTTGCTTCAAAATTTTTACCCAAACTTATTTGAGCATTTTCAACAAGCAAGCTCAACACCTATTCACTGAAATGTTATTAAATAACTGGATAGTGTTAATATCAACAGCTTCTTTCTACTTTGTAGTTGTGTATTCAATCATCTCACTTGTTCCTTTCTATGCAATAGTTTATGACAATTAAGCAAAAGAACTATAGTTTTCACCCTTCAACAACACAGGTCTGAACTGCACAGATCCACTTAAATGCAGATTTTTATTTATAAATATGTACAGTACTGTAAATGCATTTCCTCTTCCTTATGATTTTCTTAACATTTTCTTTTTTCTTGCTTATTTTAAGAATGCAGTATATTTGTATTTAAGTTTTGGGGGAGACAAAAATTATATACAATTTTCAATTGTGCAAGGTGTCACACCAAACCTGCATGTTGTCTAGGGGTCAACTGTATTTATATTGGTTAAACATTTTCCATGGGTGACTTATGACCAGTTTCAATACATATAGCCGTCTTATACTCCATGCCACCTCAACCATCTCTACCCTGTCAACTGTCCATTTTTTTCTGTGCCCTCTTTTATTCTTCCCTAACAGAGTTCTTAACAGTTTTGAAAATACAGAAATCAAGAGAACTGGGAAAGAAAAAACAGAAGGGATAAAAATTTTAAAAAGACAGAAAATCAAAGAGCAGTAATCAGGTAGTCTACGAGAGAAATGAAACATTTAAAAACACATACACAAAAACAAACACACTAAGCTCTGTAGCATCACTTAAAATGAGAATATAACAGAAACTAAAATGGGGGAGTAAGGGTGGTGGAAGAAATGAGAATTGGATAACTGTCTAAGTTTTCAATGCTCCTTCTCTTAAAAATGTTAGTAATATCACTTCTATCGACTGTCTGGTCATCCATTTTCTAACCTACTCACTAAATCTGTAGTATTTAAAAAAACACATTTATTTCCTCATTCCCTGCCACAATGTACTCATGCTCCCATTAACTGCCCACACTTCAGAAACTTAGTATAAGTAAAGTTCAAACCCAAATAGGAAAAAAAGAATTTGGTGAAATGTATTTTCCCTCTTCTAACTCTAAAAAATACCCCGGGTGCTCTCTTGCTTATCCTGATAAATGCCCCCATCCCCTTGTGATTCTGTGTCCTAATCCCTGGATCCTGTGTACTGTATATGATATCACCACCATGATAGTAATTATTTTATGTTTATAGCCCAGAAGATCCTAAGAAAGGGAGATTGTTGGTAGGCTTGATCCAACTGAAAAGTTTTCTCTAGCTGGTGGCAGACAAGCAAGTCTGAGAGAGATTCAAAGCACAAGGATTCGAGCAATTCTTGCTGTGTTTGAAGATGGAGGGAACCATGTGGCAAAGAAAGAGGGTGGTTTCTAGAAGCTGAGAGTAGGCCCTAGCTGACAGTCAGCAAGGAAACAGAGTCCTAAGTTGTAGAATAGCAAGGAAGTGAATTCTGCCAACAACCTGAGTGAGGTTGAAAATGGATTTTTCACCACAACCTCCAGATAAGAGCCATACCAGACTTCTGAGTTATCAAATTCTGAGCTAATAAAATGATGTTATTTTAACCTGCTACACATTGGTAGTAATTTGTTACAAAGCAATAGAAAATGCATGTGCTCTCCACCAATAAAGAGAATGTCCAAGTGTCATTTAAAAAGTCAAGAAAAGGGGCTTAAAAATCCTGAATTCAAAACTTAGCAAAAACAGGTTTGAGAAGTCTTTTTTATTTTTTATTTTATTGTTTAAAGTATTACAGATAGTAGTACATATGTCTCCTTCCAACCCCCCTCCCCCAC